CATGGCTGGTGTACTGCTTGCAATAACACTGCCTACGAAGAATAGCTTGCGTTGGATTAACTCGATGCTCAACACTCCAATAACATTCACTTTTGCCATGGTCTTCCCGTGTATGATCATTGTAACGGCCACAGTTACAGTAAAGTTTTATGACATTTCCAGAGCACCAACCTTGTGCCCATTTACAGTTTTCGGAGCTATGAGTTTCTGTCCTCGAATATACCATTTTTTGACGAAAATGCAAATCTGAGTAAAAGTGTCAGCAAATTTAACAGAAAATCGACAAAGTAATAATTATTATTAGTCAGATTTTGAGTTTAAATAGACCTGAGAGTAGACAACCATAGCAGTGATACGGTTGTATGCCAAGAATTATACATAATATTGTACCCAATAGTATGCCACGAACTTGCTACGTAGTTTCCGTATAAGATATTCGCTATGTCAAAGGCGTTATTATCCCATCAAAAATAAATATTTAATACGTGAAGAAAAAATTCCAAAATAACTTTCTTGGAAACTCCAGAATTGTCTTCATACATATTCAAACAGATTTTTCCATGTAAACATCACCATTTGTTTATTAATTTAAACAATAATTGTGAGCTTGTTGAAATTGTTTTAATTCTAACAATGAAAACTGTTGTTGCAATTTTTTAAAATACTTTTACTAATATGAAGTATTTGATTATGAATCTTGCATTATATCTATCTAAGTAGGGTCGCGATAAAATCATACCCTCAGAGCTGAGCGGTTTGACGGGAAGTTATCTTTTTCCTTCTTGTGCGGAAGACCCTATTTCAAATCCGGCCACCGTCGGACTTAAATTGGAGTCGATCACTCGGCTCCTCGAATAACCTTCGCATCAGACTTAAGCCACATTTACACTAGACACGATTACGACACGACAACGACATATCATCCCGTAGTTTGTATTCTTGAACACTGTGCGCATCTGTATCGTGTCGTTGTTGTGTCGTAATCGTGTCTAGTGAAAATGTGCCTTTAGGGGAGACAGGGGACATAGTACTTGCGCCGTATTGTCCCAGGGGCCCAGCCGATTTTCTAATTCCAAATTTGGAATATGGAATAAAACATAAACAATATTGTTCATCCTTTCACCGAAAGATATGCAAGATGTGTTTACATTATTTTCAAAACACCTGTGTTTTACATGTTTTTACTCTGATAAGTTTGTGTGGCTAATTTTGTACATTTTTGATAGAACTTTATAATTTTGTTTCCCTGGTTAGCAATATTTACCTTAATCATTTTAGTTGGTGTCAATGTTTTGTCCGATGTACGTTTTGTACCTACCACAATAACAATGTCGACGCAGAAT